ACTCCATTTTTCCTCACCTTTTCATCTCCAGAGTAATATATCATATGGTCATCCGACTCAAAATGCCCCATGCCAGTCCATCTCATCTCACCGATGCCTAGTATGTCAATATTTATGTGTTCCATTTCTTTCTTAACAATATCTAATTTTCCTATATTCTGAAAACCCTATGTATAATAGATGTACATCAATTCATACACATTTTATTTTGTGACACTGATACAATCTCCACTGAGTAACAGCTCCCTTGACACCTCCCTTTGTTTCCCCTTTTCACCTGACCTCCTTTCCTATCCTCCATCTTGCCCTCTGATCTTTAGCCCTGGACAAATGTTGTTCTTTGATCATGTAAGCCTTTGTAAAGCATTTTCTTTTCTTTGTCACACATTAGCTATCTTCCCATTCACATGTGTATTGGCCTTTGGCTTCTGGCTAAAAACTGTACACTCTGGCCTCCTCTCAATCAGCCTGCCTCCTGTCTCAGGTCACTCTAGATTAAGCTTTTTGGCCTTAAACTGTGTGTTCTGGTGGTCTAGTGGGTAAGAATTTGCACTGCCAACCCGCAGATATGTGGTTCAAATCAACCAGCTGCTCTGCAAGAGAAAGATGGGCAATTTCCCTTGTGATTTACAGTCTTTGAAACCCCCCTGAGGGGTCTGTTAAGTTGGTTCTGACTCAACAATACACTTGTGACTCTGGTGGCACAGTCTAAAGTGCAGTACTGCTAACTCAAAAGTGGAGCCTTTCTGGTTGTTTAAACCCACCAGCGGCTCTGAGGAAGACAGATGGGCAGTTTCCTCTATTTATAGCCTCTTGAAAGCCTGCTGGTCATTCAGCTAGGAGTCAGTTCCAACTACACAGTAGAGTTTGAGTCTCAATATACATGTGAAAACTGAACGGAAGCCTGAAGAATTGATGTTTTGGATTATGGTGTGGTTGAAGAATAATGAATGCATGGACTGCCAGAAAAGCAAATCTGTTTCAGAAGTACAGTTTAGAAGCAAGATGACGAGACTTCATGTATTTTGAACATGTTATCAAGAGATGAAGAAGAGCATCATGCTTAGGAAAGGGTCAGTGAAAGAGAGGAAGACCCTCAGTGAGATGTATTAAAACAACAGCTTCGACAATAGGCTGAAGCAAGCAAGATTAAGAGTACTGTACAGAACAAGACAGTATTTTGTTCTGTTGTACACAGGATCACTATGAACTTGAGCTAACTCTACAACAAGTAAGAAAGCAATAGAAACACGTCCTCAATAATATTTTAAAAGGGAAAAGTGTTTTTAGTCTAGAAGGATAATCAAGAGACCTCATCAGTCCGGACCCCTTTATCCTCTCTGCCTAATGTTTTCCTTGTTGTTAAGTACATCAAGTCTACTAACCACACACCATCCCTATGAACCAATGAGAACCTTGGCCTTTCCTGCACACTCCTCACAGCCTTCCACATGCTCAAACGCACTGTGACAGTCACTGTCACTCTATCTTGTTGAGAATCTTCCTTTCTCTGACCCTCTCCCTTCCCCAGCATGATGTCTTTTTCCAAGGGATGGCCCCTCCTGGTAGCATGGCCAAAGTATATGAAACAAGTTTTACCATCCTTGCTAATAACAATAACACAGTGGCTGCACGTCCTCCAAGGCAGATTTATTTGTTCTTTTGGTGTCCATGCAATCCTGAATACTCCAACACCAAAAGAGAGGAAGATCCTCAATGAGACAACTGAACACGGTCAATATCACAGTCAATGTAACAAAGGACTCAAGTAAAGCAGGAAGAGAAAGGCACAAGGTAGGGCCAGGTTGAGACCACTGTTCACAGGATCACCATGAGCTGTCACTGATTCAAAGGCACATAACAAGAATTTCAAAGCCACAATTCAAAGGCAGTGATTCTTCTTTGTTCTTCCTTATTCACTGTCTACCTTCAGCTGCATAGGAAGCATCTAAAAAGACCATGGCTTAGTATCATGGTTTGGATATAAAAAATCTGCTTTTTCCACTCCAACTTCGATCTCCAAAACTGGTTTTTCCAGCAGCAGGCAGTATAGCTTCTGCTCTACTTTAAAAAGGATGGTGTGCTCTGAGCTTCTCTTAACTTTATACAAGGAAAAAGGAATCAAGCCCAAGGCTGATTCTTATGAAGTGTCAGGTATTCTGCCACTCTTCAACTTTTCCACCAATTCTGACACCAACTCTCCCTTCCTTACTACTCCTTACTTGGATTCCATGATTCAATTCTAGAGATACACAGAACTCACAGGCTACACTCACAGTTATGGAGTTTATTTGGGAAGTAATAGATTACAATTCAGGATTAGAAAAGACTCATTCTTTGTTCAAGACAGCCTCTTCTCAGCTATGCTCAAAGGCAGGCCTCTCCCTAGCTCTCAGCCCTTGCAGGTTTCTTGGGTGGGTCTAGCCTCTGTCCAGCTGAGGCAACTGTTGCACCAATTAGCTCCACTAAGAACAAGAACCGCATGATCCTAGCCTTCAACAAAACCCAACACTCCTTCCTGATTAAAATACTCAACAAAATAGGAAAAAAGATAATTTTCTCAACATTGTGAAAATCATATACACAAAACCAATGGCCAACATCATTCTTGGTGGAGACTCAAGGCATTCCCCCTTGTGAACAGAGACCAGGTAAAGATGCCCATTATCACAACTCCTATTCAGTACTGTATTGTAAGTACTAGCTAGGACAATAAGGCGAGAAAAGGAAGAAACATCCAAACTGACACACACATACAAAAAAAGTGAAACTGGCATATGCAGGTATGTTAGTGTACACAGAAATCACCAAAGACTCAACAAAAATACTCTTAGACCTAGTAGACCAATTTAATAAGAGTGGCAGGATACAAGATCAACACACAAAAATCAGTTGGATTTCTCAACAGCAACAAAGAAAGCACAGAAAAGGAAACTAGAAAAGCAACACTATTTACAATTGCCAACCACAAGAAGAAATACTTAGGAATTGTGACTGAATGACATATAAAAACTCCTGACTTTTAAAATTAGCAATACTTTTATGTTGGAAGATATGGTGAAATATACTCACAGCACTTACCTGGTCCTCCACAGCAAACAACTCAGAAATATAAATACTGCATCATTAGTCAATCGCTGAGGCGAAAAAAATACTATGAGACAATTCTTTTTTTGTTTGTTTGAATTTAATGAGTTTACATCAAAAAATTAGGTAGTCGTTTTACATTTAAGGAATATAAATCTTAAAAAAAAATACAAAGAATGAAAGGATTTTAACCAAGTTTACACTTTTTTTGCCCTAGTTTTTAAATAGAATTCATCTCATCACATCTTATTGCAATGTGCAAATGCATTACAGCACCCATCACAATCATGAACTAAATTTAAGGAAGGAAATTATTAACAGTGGCCCACAGAGGAAACTGATTACCTTCTAGTAAAAACTCTACAGGTTATACAGGCATTGCATGTTACTACTACTGAGCCAAATGAGAACCTTTGGTCACAAGATTCATCACCAAGTCTTTGTGAAAATAAGTCCACATAAAAATTAAATATTTAAAATGTGAAATGTTCCTTTCTTTTAACCTTAGAAGTATCTCTTTTTTCATTGTAAAGAAACACTTTAAGAGTTTTAAAGCAAATGCTGTTCAAAGTGGAGTCTAGACAGCTAAAACTGCACTCCTGAGTTCAAACTTATAGGTAACTTTTTGTAAGTAGTGCTCAATAAAATATCCTCCCTCCCCTCCCCTCATGCCCCAAATCTTGTATTATTTCTTACAAAACTTTGGTCAAGTGTAGAAATATATCCAGGCTGATGTATATGTCATACAACAGTAAGAGCAGTAAAGCCAACTCATGACTTTGGATTTTAAAAATAGAAGGCAATTAAAATGTACTCAAAGTTACATTAAGAAAAGCTTTCAGGGGTAATATTGAAACAGTCACAAAGGTTAAGAAAATACTGATATCAAAGTACAAATGGCTACAATGTTAAAATAGACAAAAAATTACTATACAAGAGCCTCTTTTAAAATTAAAAATAAAGAACATAACACATGAGTCAGGACTCTTTTCCTGTTCTACTCATGAATTTTAGCCTTTATATTCCTAAGGTTGCTTTTGTTGACGTCGAATAGAGTTTCTTATGGCATCTGATGAAGTCCCATTCCAGCTTCAGAGGGTGATTCCTTCCTAAGGAAATTCTGCATCCTGGTCACATCTTGATCACTGTACAATTTCAAAGTAATGCAGTATCGCCATGATGTGTTGTGGCATGAAGACATATCCTGTGTACAGTGCCATCCCCACAATGGACACTAGCATAGAATCTGAGTTGTAGTTAAGGAAATAATGTTCTTAATTTATTCCAAGTCAAATCTTAAAATTTTTCAAAAACTATTTTATGTTGAAATACCCATTCACTTATTTTTATATATGCCAGATGTTTATAAAGAACTACTAAATATAACAACAATTATAATGATAGCCATTAACACAAATCATGCTTAGCATCATTCTAAACTCTTATTTTTTTTTTT